TAGCAGTTGGAGGTTTAAACACAGAAATATGATATTGATAGGATAGAGATAATCGATACACAAAACTTTAATTAATTGGAATACTCAAAATGTATCCGTATTTTCTGAAACCCCTAAGTGGCACTACCAGTTGTGTTGGTTGCTGTCGTGAGGCGGCTACAGGTCTAGACGCTCCATAGAAAGGTTAGGATGTGGCTTGAGTCTAAAATTGTTTTTGTCAAGCTAATTTTTTAGAGTGTCTCCAGAATCAGGTTCAGCAGCCGTTCGCTACAGCGACCACTTAGTGTGTTAGTGGGGTAGCCAGGAAGCTTGTAAAGAGGATATTTAGAGTGGTGAGGCTGGTTATAAGGTACACAGTATTTGGGGGGTCGAATTGGGTGGTCTGGGGCTTGTAGTTGCTTACGGTATGTTTCACGATCAGCCAGTTTTCCTCTTTGTACTCGTACATGCAGCGCTGCGGGGCTCTCTCCTCAACATCTGTTCCTTATGCTAAGAGGGGAGCGATAGGCTGGCGCCGCTGGTTTTCGGCACCGGCGTCCGAGAATAATGAGATAAGTGCAGCACCTCCTCGGCTTCTCTGGTGCTCTCCAAAAAAAGGAAACTATGGTATGGTGTGTAGATTCATTATGTTTCCAGGCATTTTATTCCTGAACGGATAGTTGCAGAGGAGTGTCGTGCTTGTGTTGTGTGTGTGTTGTGTTGTTGTGGTTGAGTCTGGTAGTGAAGACAGCAAACCATCAATGTGTTCTAACATCAGCTGTCTGTGTCAGCTGCGACTATGTAGCTCTATGAGAACAAAGTTTACCGACAATGTCCTGTCTGGACACTCGCGTAGAACTTGTCGAGGCATCATCAAGACAGGAGTAAAGTGACTGGTCCGCAAACCATTAGCACTTCATAAGAGCCTGATTAAGTTTTGTACAGGCTGTTTAAAGTGGTTATCCATGGCTACCACCTCGTCTTGACCACAGCTGCATGCTGACTGAATTATAATCAGATGTTGTATTATGCAATTGTTCTTACGCTTGCTGATGTCTTACCCATCAAGACCGTTCACTCTGTGTTGGTCGTTAACTGTCACATCAGATGGACGAGTTTGTCTTGCGCTCATAATGGACTGACACGTACTCAAGAGAGCTGCAGGGGCAAGATAAACATCCCGAGACCGAAATACAGCCGCACATTGACTAATTCCAGTTACTTGACTGGGGTAATGATGAAAGTATGTTTCGTGTTTCTTGTTCAACCAAGTCCACGTCAGCTGTAACACGTCACCGCAGAGTGCGTAAATACAGCTTCCATAGGCCACATGGAAAACAAAATACAAGAAAATCTCAAAATTACATCAGATCTAACACACCAATCATTAAATATAAAATAACATTACAGCAATTTGTAGGTTAAAAGATGCTCTAGAGGTAAAAAAAGGCATGATAACATCTAGTACAGTAGTTCCCAAGCGTTGCTGTTCCCTTATGACAACATTCTAAAGTGGTTTGTGCACCTGCTTCGTCACGCCCATTGGCTTTGTCACAGTTAGCATACATCCGTTCACGCATAACCATTCTGATGCACTGACAGTTGAAGTGAATAACACTGATTATTCTACTTCGTTTAGAATGTGATTTGAGGCAGGGCAATAAACAGTTTGATATGCCCGGCTGGTGGACGGCTTACTGCCTGAGACGAAGTCAAGCGTGAGTTTCAAAACTGCAGCTCTTGTGGGGTGTTCCCGGTCTGCAGTGCAGTTGCAAAGGTTCATTGATGCACGTGGGGAGCGAAAGGCTGGCCCGTGTTGTCCGATCCAACAGATGAGCTACTGTAGCTTAAACTGCTAAAACAGTTAATGCTGGTTCTGATAGAAAGGTGTCAGAATGTCTTTTTATGTAGTCCCCCCCTGGGGGATCAATAATGTGTTTAATGGATTGTTGTCAAGGCTTTTGACCTGCAAAATCACCAAAGCAATGCTTAATGTGGTGGGGTAAATGCTCTAATGCGGGAGCATGTTTAATATAGACATAGATATATAGTTTATTTGAGGCATGTAGCTACTAGTGATGCGTGGATCACAGTCAACCCTCGGATTGGGCAGGCTGGGTCATAAAAAATTAACATACTGGTTTTAGCGATGTGTTGTGGGTGGGTGAAATACTCATACAAATACCCATTTAGAGACGCTGATGAACTTGATTGAACTCCAGAACTGCTGTACATCTCCAGACAAGCAGACGGGATCAATCAGGATCGAATGTTATGCGTTCTTCTACACA